CACATTCTTCAACCATTTCAAATATCCGGATTTGCCTATCTGGGCAGCCACTTTAAATCAGCAGGAAAAGGTTACACTGTTGTAGCAACACTGTAAATTAAAATTTGATTTCACAGCTCAATTGACCAATTGTTGCTGGGATATACATTACTGGTGGTTTACGTAAAATATATTTATTTAATATTGTTGACTTCTGATTAAATGAGGTTTTAAAAAGTTGTTAAAGAAGAGAGAAAAATACATTTTTTGGCAAAATCCTTTAAAATCTCAGAAAAGAGTTGTAATCTCACGAAAATGTGTAGCAAATTGTATTCATTTCGCTTCATTTTATCACCCCGTATACATATTTTAAACTACCTGTATGAAAACAACTTTATTTTTGGAAAGCTGCCCCACCTTAAAATCCTTTCCCTAGTCAGAAGGATTGATTAACCGTTATTGGTGATGACTTCACAACAGTCAAATTAAGAGTGACAGAATACAACTTTATTGCTGTGATGAGCGATACAATTATACAACCAATCGATTAATGGTAATCCAACAACTCTAGTCTCATGTTCAAGAAGTTTAATGAAGAGCTTGAAGAATTTTAGACCTGCGACGTAGGGCCTTATTTATGGTCATTATTCGCCAACTGTTTAGGAAATAAACTAATGCACTCTCTATAAAGTATTCAAACCTATAATAAACTAGCAGTTCAGTGTTCAAGTGTTTTTGGTTATCATGAGGGCGTAGAAATTGATATAAAGAGTGCGTAGCTTAATAATGTAAATACATACTGTATTAGAGGTATTTTACTAATGTAATTGTTGTGAAAAATTATGTTAATGAGGGGTTAAAACATTTGAAATCTTAAAAACGGGGGGGGGGTATGTTTACTTACCAGAAAAGCTCACCAAGCTCTGTATTACTCGCGCAACTTCTCTCGAACGATGACCTTGCTTCCTCCTCTCTGGCACAATAAACAGCTGAAGGCAGCTCTCAGCGAGCACTGACGACAACACTCCAAACACATATTCATTGTTGCGAAATACAAACTATTTTCTGTTGGAGACGAGAACTTCTGCCCGTTATTTTGTCCCAAAAGTCTATAGAAGTGACCGAATCACATAAAGATCTCTCACAGGAGATACCTCAAACTCCTGAGAAAGGTTAGAACGCAAATTATTGAGAATGTTGCGACGGTATGACTAATTCTCCAAAGACTGGCATTGCTTCATAAAATATAGTGACCGATTTTGTAACTAATACCCCCACTCTACCCGCATTTCTTCAATTCGTCGCTCAAGAAAAGTTGCGAGCTATAGAAAAATTGCGTCTGCGTACATTGACGATACAATGTACTTGGGTACTAATAAAACCATAATTATGTAGTTGGTGAGAATGTACATCAGTTGATAACATTCAATTTTCTGCAAAAATAAAAATGTGTTTTTTTTAAATCTGAGAGAGAGAAATAAAAGGTCGATAGCGCGTCCGAGTTTAAGAATGAAGTACTGGGCTTGATGGGCTTTTCCGGTAAATGAACATACCCCTCGTTTTCAAGATTTTAAAACTGTTATAAATCCTCATTAACATACTTTTTCATCACGACAATTACATTAGTAAAATAATACCTCGAACACATTATGTATTTACCACAAATTGTGGTGAATTATTTAGAATTAATTATTTTTTGTAGGAAGGGATACGTTCGGCTGTTGGATCAGCCACAGCTGCGGTGCCACGCGCTTCGGTTGCCGTATTATACGCCGATATATACTCTGGCCGTATTTTACTGTGTTCAGAATATTTGAGTTCAGGTTGTTTCCCTTTGTGTACTTGCTTTGTTTTTGATTTATGGTTTTAATCGCGTCAAAGTTAAATGTAAATTTGTTTACTTTTCTTCATTTTGGTTTTTAAGTTGTGGTAAATGTATTAATTTACACTTTTTAAATTTTATTTCTTTTTTGTTGCAAACTTTATTTAGAATGTATGATCCACCAACCGTAAAGCACAAGAGTGGTAAAGTGCTCCACAGTCGAAATAAAAACAACAAATAGTTATTATTGTTTCAAACTATATAACTATAATTACATTTTCGAACTCAATGCCTTCCGGGAGATAACTGACCGCCCAATTGGCGCGAGACTGCTCAGTTTCTCATGAATCAAATCAGTTTGTACCCATAGGGCCGACTTATTTTGTCATCAAAGGAATTTTAAATATTTTTTTTCGGTTATCAAAACGTATTATTACTCTACTGTAAAGAAAACACGAGGCTTGGTCTTTTGCAACTGCATGTAGTTGGCTTGAATTTTGGATATTGCATTGAAATAGTAGTACACTTCAAATTAATATTTCCTCCTGGTTTCTCATGGCATTTTGAAACGCAAAGAACGTGAGAAGCTTAACAGAAACGTTTCCTGTGTATTGGAGTCTCATAGGAATAGTTTTAGATTCGAGGAAAGCGAGGAAAATACGATTTCATAAAATTGGAAAGGTTCGAGATAAACTACTTGAGCGCTAAACTAGGGCTCCGCCCCATTGCAGGATTCGTCACCATCGGGCGAAATGTTTTTGATTCATATAGTACAGCAGAAAAGCGCCACGTTTGGCATCACTGTCGCCATAAGAGATCGCAATTCGTTCTTAACGTCGGATGCGCCATAGAAAAATTGCGTTCATATACGTTGACGACACAATGTACACCACTAATAAAATCGTCGTTGTAGTCGGTGAGGGTGTACATGTGGTAGTAATAATGATAATTCTTAGCAAACATGAAAATGTGATCATTTTTAAACCTGAGATAGAACTTCTGTACCTACATTTTCCAGCTTGCTGCAGTCAATACATAACATTTTTTTATATGTAATGATTTGTTGCCCCACCATCACGTCATTGGCCAAGAACAGGAAAATGACGTTCTTTCAGACTGACCAGAACCCTAATCTTCCTGAAAAGTATACTGAAAAGCAACAAAGGATAAGGTGGTTGTGGCTGGTGAAAGTTTCCTGGTTTCACTATTCAGCTACAGTGGGAAGACAGTAGATACTCAACCAGTTGAATATCAGGAATATGGCAAACATTGCTGCACTACCATCTGCAGTTGCAGCACAGCAATACTTACTTTATCACACACGTACGTATCCACGAACTCACACGTGCAAGGAACTGTCACACGTACAGAGAAAGTGAAATAAAGAAAACCGATTTCGAGATATCAACATAAATACAGGTGTAGAAATACCATCTGCAGTTGCAGCAAAGAAATACTCACTTTATCACACGTACGTATCTAAGAACACACACTCGTGCTAGGAACTCGTGTACAGAGAAAGTTAAATAAAGATAACCGATTTCGAGATATCAACAGAAATACAGGTGTGAATGGGGAAACATTGATTCAGAAGTCAAACAATATTAAATAAATATTATAAATATATTTTATGTAAACTACCATGTAATGTATATCCCAGCAACAATTGGTCAATTGAGCGTGTGAAATCAAATTGTTAATTTTCAACAGTGTTGCTACAACAGTGTAACTTTCCCGCTGGATTTAAAGTGCTGCCCAGGTAGGCAAATCCGGATATTTGAAATGGTGTGAAGAATGTGTGACCTGATGAAAATGTTTACCCTTGTCACGTGTCTCTATCAATACTAAAGAGAGCACCTGACAACGCTTTGATTTCGGAGACAGGCGTTCGAGGCTGCCTGTGCCCGCAAGAGCACCGAGGTTCCCACCGCGGCCAAATGTTCAATTGGCGCCGTTCTGCACGCGCCTGCGAAATACTCTCGAAACAATGCATCGCGCGGAAAAATAATGTTTTAACAGTTTTTCAAGAAGAAGAAGAAGAAGAAGGAGAAGGAGGAGAAGAAGAAGAGAGAAGGAGGAAAGAAGAAGAAGAAGAAGAAGAAGAAGAAGAAGAAGAGAAGGAGGAGAAGAAGAAGAAGAAGAAGAAAGAAAATATCAAAATCCCCCCGAGAATCTGTGTTGAGAAAATATGTTTGAAAATTGCCTATATTTCACGAAAAGTTACCAATAAATACACATATTTTCGAAAATTTGTACATGACTTTATTTCAAAATCTGTCTTTAAAGAACAGATTCCATTCAAGAAAAATAAAATTATCTTCAATATGGCAGTTGTAGAAAGAAACCAGAAAAAATGTAGAGCTTTTGAAATTTTCGAAAAATCAGGGGTTTAAACGAAATTGAGACCTGCATATTTCTTCTAAGCGACCATTACTCTATCCGAGGACAAAATTAAATTAAATTAAATTTGTTAAAAAAATTGGAGTCATTTTTGAGAAACATTTAAAATGTTTATTTTTTACTGATACCTTATTGTTACTGCCTTCGACACGGAAATCGATTTACACAGCCTGGATCGAAAGGATCGTGGTTATAAAGGAAACATGTTAACATGGGTCAATTAGTAATTAGGTAAATCTGAATTCATAAAATTATGTAAAAAATAAAATTCTATATGTACCACGGGCGTTAGCTCATTCTAATGATCTCGGGCGACAAAAAGCTATCGTACCTACTCCCCCTCCCAATCCAAATATCCGTTTTAAACTCAAGAGGCCCTCTAGTTCCTTTAAATCGGTCGAGGAATATCCATTTTGGAGAAAATGGATCGGTTTAGGCGTTAGCCTGGACCGCGGACGGACGCTTTGCCGTCAATCAATATTTCGGTATCAGGGACCCTCAAAACCTCGATTCTGACTACACAATGTGTTAGAGAAAGACATTTTTTATGAATACGAGCAAGATTTATCCAATATTTCGTTACCAGGGCCCGGCAAGAATTTTTCAGTTGCAAATTCGACATTTTACGCACGATCACAATAAATTCTGTTCTTGCAAAGTAAGGACGAGAAAGTAAAATCAAGCTTTCATCCAGGTCTGATAATCTTAATGTAACGAAGCTAAAAACTACCAAATAAAATAAGATTCATTCGAAATAATTTTACCTTTTAATCTATTTAATGATAATGTATTGTTTCAGAACCAGAATGAGTTATACATTGAGCTCTGATAAGCATTGTAGCACCCTTATGAGTGCTTTGAATAAATTTAGAGAAACAAAGAAATTTCATGATGTATGCTTCCTAGCAGATTCAGAAAGACTGTATGTCAACAGAACTATTTTAGCTGCATACAGTCCCTACATGGAGGTAAGTTTGTTTCAATGACAGAACATTTTGTCTTAAACTTTACTGTTAGTCTAGTAACCTTGCTTTTTTCCTTGAACTAATTATTTGAATCTGTAATGCTTTCTCATAAAATAATAATTTCTAAAACAATTCTTTTTATTGGTTGAACAAGTATATTTGTCATTGCATCTCTTTTAGCGAGTAGCACCCTGATCGAAGCTTTGAATATATAAGGAAAGAGATTTCATGTTCAAGAAAGATTCTTACTGTACTAGAGAAGGGTGAAAATTGAACTGATGCTCGTAGTGAGAGAAATGATTTTGCTTTACTTGCAGTGAAACAATATTATGTATATTAGCAAAGAAATCTTGATGTATATATTGAAGCACATTTATAAAATAATAAACCAAAAACATTATTTTTCAGCACGTACTAAATGATTTGAACAATACTACAGTGGTGTTTGTAGCCCATGGAATTTCTGCAAAAACTATGAACCAGTTGATAGATTTTATGTATCGAGGAGTTATCAGCATTGCTCAAGAGGATGTTATGCCCTTGATAAATGCAGCAAAGATATACCATATTGTGGGACTCAAAGACTGTGCAAATAGTGAAGTAAGTTTCTGAGCAGCAAATATCTTGGTGCTTTGGCCAAGGTACCTTGACCATTACAAGGTACATACAAGGTACTTTGACCATTTTCCTGCCAAAAAATGTTTTTGTGTGGTGTTGGAAATTCACAGAGCTTACACTTAAAACCAGGAAGAGACAATTGATAAAATTTATCTTAATTTCTTGGATATTTCCATCATGAACTCAGGTTAATTACGTTTCTGCTCTCATCCTAATGATAATACATTTTACTTAGACCCTATGTATGATGCTAGCACATAAAATGTGCCATTCTAGTACTACATTTTGAAAGGCATAACAAATTTGGAAAATTAGTTTCAGCTGGAGCAAAATTAATTGTGTTTTGGAAATATTCTATTACGAATTTGACATTAAATCACAATCACTTAAATGGTAAAATGATAGGTGAAATCAGATTATATAAAACGTAAGCTTTTAAGGCCAGTATCAATATTGATATTGTTTTTTGGGCTGATAAACAGAGATCTAGTCGAATGAATTCCCACAGAGATTTCTTCTGCTTATCTAAAAGACTTCCTCGGTGATCGTTGGGTAAAGAACATTGGTACTCTCTGGGTCAGCTACTGGCTGAATAGTAGTCCTGGCAGGGACAGTGACAGTGGCAATGGCATGAGAATGACACTGACGCTAGTCAACCAGGAGTTGACCAAGAGAGTTCCTTTTCCCCCACCACTGAAGATGTACTCAACAGAAGTGGATGAAACCTATGAAGGAAGAAATTCAACTGAACACATGGTTATCAGCCCAGTAAGACATATCAATTTTGTTAAAAAATTCGAAGTCAGTTCACTGTGCTTTTTGAAACTAAATCTCTTAAAGACTGCTCCCTGTTTACAGGGATCATTGGGGAAGGCAAGTCATCAAGGACAATTCAACTGCACCACACCACTACATCCACGCCATCTCCACACCCAGACCTACATCGATCCACCACTGCAGAAAATTCCACCCTCGTCATTAACAGCGAGCCAGCTTTTCTCCCATTGTCCAGCCCAAGTGGTATCCTCGCAGCCCTTGGAGCAGACAGGTTCTGCCAGCACATGCTGTTCTCATATCTGTGCTTCTGCACGTGTCACCATCACTTCTAAGCCAGCTGCTCCACCTAGCACATCTTTTGCACGTGATATCGTGCTGGGCTCAGGTATCTCCATCACCCCCACATCAGTGGAGCCAGCCACTTCGTCTTCAGGATTGTTTCAGTGCTCCCCCAACTCTCATCTCCATCAACAGCACATTGGCTCACTGGCAAAAACATTTCCACCCCCAGTTTCAGATATCAGCAGGTAATATCTGAAAAAAAATAATTATTCTATTGTGAAGGCCATTACTAGCATGTTTCTCAACTTAAATGCTAATGCGTTTTTTATTTGTGTGTTATTAGACAAAACCATGGAGATGCTGAGTCCTCTGCCATTGTGGAACCCATGGCAGCATCCAGCAGTTCTGTGCCTACTGATCATTTGCCCTCCCAAAGTGCCACAGTTCTACTCTCTGCATCGCAGGTTACAACATCTTGTAGCTCTGCACCTGCAACCACTACACAGTCAGTCTCTTCTGCCAGTTCTACTACCTCGCAATCCATCTCCAACCGGCCTCATAGCAAGGACTCTGAAAACTGTGAATCACCATCTGTGCGTGTCTCCATACACAGGAAACGCTCTCGCAGCCCCCATAAAATACAAATATGCCAAACTTCCCCTGCCCCTTCTGAAAGAAACGATAACAGTGTTGCTCCAAACACACAAGCTTCTGACTTAACAATTGAACTCGAAGAACTAGGAACCAATATAAAGAAAAATAGTTCTAGCTCTTCAGAAGGGGAAGATATTATCAATGAAGTACTCGCTTTAGCTGACAGTGTGTTACCTGCCGCTTCCACCCCGCTGGTCAAACGAACATCTCCAAGAAGAACGGGATTAAGTGGTCCCTTTGCACGCCGTAGTCACTCATTTCGTTACCCTGGCATACAGAGAAATGTGTCACCTTTGGGAGGAAGTTCCAAGCCCTCTAATAACCAGTTGCCAGCAGAAGGTAATTTACTGTTAAGAAATGTTGGAGCATGTACTGCATTCCAAATTCGATGCCCATGATTGAGGAATCTGTGGGACAAAGTGTAGTAAGTCTGAGGAAAGGAGTGTAACTTGTTGCATAAATTCTGATGAACTGTAGGAAACTGGGCAAGTATATTCTTCACTCTTCTATTTTGAACACATCCTTTCGTTTTTCTTTTTAAATTAAAATTATATTGCACAAGACAAAAATTAAACCAGAAAAAAACTAATGTCTATTGTATTTTTAGTTCATAAAGCAAAATTAGCATTTTAAAATTATACTAATGGGGTACGAAAATACATTTCTTAAGAATATTATTTCAGTGTAATTCTCTTATTTTCCTAATTTTGCAAAAACTTTTGTCAAAGTGAATAATGTATTTTGATGAAGGTTCTTGAAGTAAAATAAATAAGAAAAAAAATTTACAACTTTTGAAGTAACCCTCCATTTTCTTCTGTATGAGCTTTACTCTTATTATCATGCCAATTTTTATTTTCAGAAGGGAGAACAGTCAGTGCCTGTCTATGGAGCAATTTTGAAAACTCATGTGCCAGTGAAACAATATGTAAGCATTGTATCACTTTATTTTGCATAAACGTTTTGTCTTCCAGAAAATTCAGTGAGTTTTTGAGTTCAAGTTAAAAATATTATTTATGATTTTGGTTCTTTTTGGAGCAAAACATTTGATATAACTAGTTGGTTAAAAATTGGAAAACTTTTCTACCCAAAACATTTAATCGTTTTCCTACCTACAGGATTGCTGATTACCTTGCAGGATGATTTAAAATTGTGAGGTTTAATGAATTTCAATGTTATACCGGTACTGTTTTCTTTATTGGGGCATTCCATGTGATATCAAACACCATTATAAACTTTTGCAGACGTTATTTTACAGTCTGGATTTCTGTCTTTGCACAAACTGAATGCTTCTTTCAAGTTGCATAGGACCAACCTTTTTACTTTTTCACTACTGCTTACTCAGTAGAGAAAAAAGATATTGTCAAATTTGTGTTGATATTTGCTTCTAATATTCAGTTTTCACACTAAATTTTCTACAATTTGTAATGTGTTTTACAAAAAATGATGGTTGAGATGTCTTGATTCGAAGAGAATTTGTGGTATAAATAGTATTACATAATCATTACTATGGGGGAGAAAGCATATTCTGTTTTAGTACCACTAGTTTGTAAAGCTTACTTTTTCTTAACAATTTAGATTTTTTGTTTGTAGTTTCACTGAGCAATACAAGATTTCCCTTAAGTGTATTAGCACTTTCACTCTGTAATGTCAGGCCACCCTTATCACTGTCCAGTTCAGTTGTTGTGCCAGGAAAAGGCGAATTTTGTACTCCTTGTACCTTTCTCTTGGTCACTAGATACATTACTGATAGTTGAAATTTTAGAAATTGGCAACCAACACGAATTGCATACCTTTTCTAACATTGCTGGAATCACTTACCTAAAATAAAAAAACCTAAGGGCGATACTTTGTCATTCTTTATTTACTAATAAATATTTTTAGCCCTCTGTGATGCAATTCATACTTTCCAGTCCCTGGAGGATCATTTACTCAGCTAGTGTGTTTCTGGGGCAGGCACTGTGGGGAGGGGCTCAAACGTACTTGACAACACAAAAATATATTTTATATGTTTTACATATTTATAATTTTATATCATGTATGCCTGCTCTAAAAAAACATTAATTCATGTTAAACAAATCAGATTTTTATTAACGTTTCAGAAAAATAGTGTTTAAGAATCTCAAGTTAATGCTTTTATTTTATTTCAAGAGAACTAGCACCATACACCCAAAATGATGTTTTAGAGAATAGAAAAACAGGGTGCTTCCCACTGTTTTCTGAATGATTTAAATGAGGTACGAACTGTTGTAATATAACAACTTGAAATTACTATTTCAAGATGTAAACGTATACCTACATAATTAATACAATTTATCACAACTTGGATAAACTAACGCTTTTCTCAAAAGCAAGGATACGACTGGATCAACTTAGGAACGATAGTACAAGGTGGGAGGTAAATGAAATATTCATCAGCAAAGACAACTTTTCACTTCTGATGATCTCTTGTGTAGTTTTAATACATTAATAAAATAGATCAAAACACCCATCTTTTAATTCTTTTGATGTATTTGTGTGTAGTTATGATTTTCTTTAATGGAGATTTTTGTTTAGTTATTATTTTAAAAAAATAAGGTAACGTGATTGGCATCTAGGATGATGAAACCATGAAGAAGGCTCCAAAAAGATACGAAATGTCAGCAGTAGACATAAACATAGTTTTTTTTAATGATGTAATTGTTTTTGCCCAGAGCTTGATTTCTAAACTAGTGAAGTTGATGATTATGATGAAATGGTCTTAATTCAAGAACTCTCTTACGCTTGTTACAAGAGGTCAAGAACCTTTAATAAGTTTTTCGGGTTTCCATGTACTGTAGACACTTCTGATGATTCAGTTAATATTTGGCTTTAAGTGAGAATGCTTGTTTGATTTTGGTTGAACTGTTCTTTACTAATTTGATATCACAATCAAGTCATTATTAACATTCCTTAACGAATCTTGAATGTTAACTCATGAAACTCATAGAATCTTTAATTAAATTTGATGTCTCATGGGAAAAGTTCTTTAATTCTTTGCAAAGACTTATCTTCCAAAGAAATTTTGCCCTGCGATCACAGAAATAATGTCTATATTTGTAGAGCGTATGCAATTCACTTGTGAAAGTGTTTTGAAGAAATGTGATTAAGTCTTTGGACATCCTAAAGAAAAATAATTATTTTTTAATAGAAGAAAGTGATAATTTATGTTCTTTCCAATTGCAGCTACTTCTCCAAAATCGAAAGTGATTGTGAGAGAGCAGTATCGTGGTGTTCATCGACCTCCTGGCCGAAGACGTGGTAAACCTCGCTAACTTACTTAGCGAAAAAGTAATAGTCTTGGCCCAATCTGGTACAATTGATATCTAGTGGAGAGCAGACTTGGGTCGAGTGGAAAGCATCATGATCTGCAGAATCTCAGTATAAAGAGTAAAGTATTGGAATCTGAGAAGATAAAAAATAATGAAAGAACTGAAGAAGATGAAATGTTTTGAATGTGAGTTTGATTCAAAATAAAAATTTTTAAGTGGTTTCTTTGTATGTGCCTAACCCTGCCTAATTTCTACCTCACTAATTCCCGCTATACTACGAAGCATTTTACATTTGAATTTTTTAATATATTCTTATTCTTAACTCGTAATATAAAAAGTTCTTCTAAAAATGTAGGCTTCAGTAATGTGGTGTTTTAAGATATGTTATGCCAATTTAAAAATTAAAAAGTTAATATAATATTTGTTGTTATGTAGGTGAGTGGGATTTGAAAGTTAGAAACCACTTGAAATGTTACTTTGTCAATCATTCATCAAATGATTTTATTTCTTTATGTTAAGAAGGACATTCTAGCTAAGCTTAGATGAAGTTCAATACATATAAAAATAATAAATACATACATTGAGAAAAATGAGCCATCTTTCCATTCCACTCTCAGGGTTAAAGCAGTTTTGACCTACGGTGAATCATTCATCATAAATGCGTGTGGTTGTTTAGCCATGATGTATGTTGGTGCATTCATCTCCATACATTCATGTTTGTGTTCAGTGTTTGTATGGATACAAACTATAAAATGATAGTGTATTGTAATGCTGACATATGATAACATGTGATGGATACTAGAGGCATTGAATCTTCCTTATTTACATCACTAGCTTCCATATTATTGCACATCCATGATCTCATCACAGCCTCATCACACCATCGATGTACTGTGTTGTGTAATTGAGTTGTTTGTCTCAAGAAAGTTAGTGTGTTAGAAAATTACTGTTATCATGGATTAGTGTTGTAGATAAAGGATGCCCTTGGAACACTAACATCTAAATAAAATTAAAAAGGATTTGAGTTGAGAATTATGCAGAACTTTGATTGAAATTATAGGCTTTTTAATGTTTGTGTGATAAGACGTGTGTTTCTGATTAAAACACCATTTGTTTGTTAAGAAACAATAAGTATTGCTTCTGATGTTTTTATATGTGTATGTCTGACTGGTAATGTTTTTGTGAATGTCTGACTACGTTGTCAAACTGTCTCTGTTTAACACAATGCATCACCTATAATTTATAGTATCATTCTGTTTTATATATGTTGGTAAAATATGAAACCGAACATCAACAATTAGCCCTAACAAAGTATCAATGTTTTTTCTTGTCTTGGCTGCATTTCAAAGGGCAAAAAGAATCTATGAAAATGTTGTAGTTGTGAAGTCAAGTAATACTATTGCAAATAAAATAAATATTATCTGGTAATCATTGTAATAGAAATCATGTTCTTTCAAGATGAAGGCGGCTCCACAACACCCACACCACCAAAGGCGACATTCGACTAGCAGCGAGCTACTGCTCGCCAAATCTCGAACAGCTTATGTGTTAGATGAATGTTCGCTCCTTTTGATGTATCCTAAAGACCAACACGCAGTGGATAGGGCAAATACCAAATGTTCGGCGCTCAGCGAATAGTGAGTGAACAATCCACACTACTCAGGATTCGCTGAATGCTGCATGTGTGGAGCTGCCTTAATGTTAACACATTCAGGTCGTAACCTCAGCACAACTTTTTTCCACGAGGGGTCGTAAGGTTTTGTGGTATATTTGAAGGGTCATATCTTCTAAACCAATATACATAGAAGCAAGATTCTTGTTTTATTTTAAAGAAACAATCTTCTACTTTTATAAAAAGTTCCAACTTCTATGTTTTCATTAATAGATTAAATGATTTTTTAATATAAATAACATAAGAAGTTGAGTTCCAAAAGAAGTTTAATAGGTTTATTTAACGTAGATTTCACAGGCATTGTAATTTTTTAGATTTTAGATTTATTTAGTCAAAAAAACAGTAAAAACTGTATGTGATGTATGGGGGAGATTATCTGTGCACGTTTTCTTGAGTTAACTTAGGCAACCTGTCTGTTCCTGTAGTCCTACAAACTCATAACATCTTGTGTTTCACAAATGATGATGACACACATTGAGGAACAGAAATCGTTAGCAAATGAACAGAAAGGATGTAGACCTGGATCTCAGGGATGAAGGAGCAACTCATTATAGACTCTGTAATTATGGGGCAAGTGCTGTGAAAAACAAGAAACTTGTACGCATCTACATAGATTACGCTAAAAGCATTCGACACCGTGCCCCATTCTTGGCTCTTCAATGTTTGGATGTATACAAGGTCCACCCGCTTATCCAAAACTTCTGAAAACCGGCGACGAGTCGATGGAATAAAAAAACCGTATCTCTCTAATGGAAAACAATCCGTCCACACAGATACTATAACACATGCCCGAGAGATTTTCCAGGGTGACTCTTTAAGCCCTTTATTGTTCTGCTTAGCCTTAAATCCCTGTCTACTCTACTTAATTCATCTAATTATCCAAGATGAAATTCGGTTTGGATAAGTGCAGGAGAGTAAATATCATTCGGGGTCATATGCAAGTTAATAAATTTGGAAATGATATGAAGCCAATGATTACCTTCATGGAACCCATGAACTTACAAATACTTGGGTTTCCAACAGTCACTCCGAATCAGACACACTGTTACTAAGAACATACTAAACAATAAGTGTGTGAACGATTGCATGGACTCTTAAAAACTCAACTCTCTGCTAGAAACTTGTGCAAGCCATCAATTCATTTGTTATTCCAGTGCTGACATACTCCTTTGGCGTTATTAAATGGAGCATTACCGACCTCGACAACCTCCAGAGGACAATTCGAACCGCTATGACTCAACACCGAAAACATCATCCCATTCAACTACTGAGCGTTTTTACCCTTCCAAGGTCGCAAGGAGGGCGAGTATTGTAGATCTCATAAATCTACACATCTTAAATTGCTTCACTCAGAAGATACTTCTTGGAACAATTGTGGGAGAGTTCAGCAAGCAGTGAGCGCAGTTGATAATAACTATAGTCCTCTGGAACTTGAAAAAGCTTTATCGCGCCTGTTCAACCAATCATTGAAACGGAAGAGAAGATATCCTTATGGAAGGCACCCTCGCAAGCTGAGTAAACCAGAAGTCGACATTTTGCGTCGCACGCATGGCTCCAGCAACGGGGATTCTTTCCGGAGACAGAGCCTTCATGATAGCTATCCAGGACCAAAGTGATTAACATTGACTACAGAAAACACATCCTGAAGAGATTCTACTATTCATTCCGGACTCGTGGTAGAAGATGCGAGGCTGCAAGCGAAACTAACCACACGTGATAAGTGGATTGTAGCAGCACGCACAGTGGAATACAAAAAGAGGCATGATGAAGTGGCGAAGCCAGGTCACCAATTATTGCTTTGAGAACGAGTTACTCGCCACTTCCGTGCCGTATTATAATATGTGCCTCAGAATGTGCTTGAAAGTAGTGAGCACACACTCTCTGGGATCGCTCCATTATCAACTGATGACATGTCGGCGGCAATAGACCCGATATAACGAACATTGATAGAAACGCATCAGCAGGTTTTCCTTATGATATATCAGTATCCAATACCCACAACATATCGGGAAATACATCAGAGAAGATCAGAAAGTATACCGATCTCGCTCATGAAGTCGCATCTCAGTGGAACTTCAGTAAAGTGACAACTGTGCCTATAATAATATCAGCTAGAGGAGTGATCCAAAAATGACACTTCGGGCACTGGAGTGGTCTTCACTTGGGATGCCAGGAATGTATATAATATGCAAAAGTGTGTAATTTTGAATAATGCCGAATTGTCAGAAGCCATCTGAACCTTCAGTAAAGCAACCACACACCTGGTCTTCATTCCTGTGTGTGGTTGACATACCGACAGTAGATACTGTGAATAATGTATAGTAATAATAATAATAATAATAATAATAAAATAATAATCAATATAATAATAATAATAATAATAATAATAATAATAATAATAATAATAATAATCATCATCATCATCATCATCATCATCATCATTGACTTGCGTAAAATGAATGTAATATGTTGTTTAAAAAATGTCACATTAAGTATATTAAATTTTCCTTCAATTATTTTGCAATTCAGCATGCTCACCCCCAAATTGGTATTCTATGGATACTTAAATGCAACTGTTAAGACTTATTTTTTTATGATGATTATTCCATTGAAGGAATAGGGTGACTGAAATGGAAACGTCAGGTTACTTGTATAGTTATATTATTATGATATTCAGTTTCCAAGCATGATGATAGTACCATGATAGATGAAATTTGCTAATATTCTGCTTACAATTGCTTCACTGTGACTTCATTTTCTTGCCTTCGCTTTCTGAATACAAATGAGCATACCCTTTCCTCATGATTTGAAATGCTTTCAGAGCCTTTCTCTTGTCCTGACATCTTGGATGGCGAGCAGTTTGGTTCTTGCATCTCTCTGAAACATGCATTTTTGTTTTTCTGTTTGTTAATGTCTCTCGTTCTTTGTTTCTTTTTATATTCTATTTTTCCCTACCTCTTTCTGACTTTTTTGTCCTGTAGGAAGTGTTAGAAAAGCAAGTTTTGGACTCTTTTAAGATGCATGTGTACTACCCTATTCCCTACTCTTCACTAGAAAATGGAGGTTCATTACCAGTAGACAACTATTGGGAACACTAAAACTGAAAATGATTAAAATTTTTATTTTTAACCAAGAGAAAGCGATATAAATGTTTTTTATCTTATTTGATCACCTTAATGTGTTGTTTACGTTTGTGTTCAGAGTAGGTAAAATGGTTCATTTCTGTATCTGATGGTAGTAAAGTGTTTGGTAAACAATACAGTGGATACAAAGTATTGTTTCATTCATAAACAAAGAAACATAAATGTCAGTATTCAATTACTTTCTTCTTTATTTCTTCTTCTCCTTCCCTTCTTATATTTTCTTCTCCTCAATCTTTTTTTGTGTTTATGGTCATGTTGCTGTTGTATTGCTTGGGAAATTGTGGTAAAAGTGAAAATAAGCTCTCAGTGTTCTGTCTGTGAGGCCTTACTATACTTGAAGATATTTCTTTGAATGCTTGTTCACACGGTCTTGCCAATCACACAAGCTCTTGAACAGAAGGAAGAGTTTCCTGTCTGATAAGATACCTTCAACAAAAATCTTAATAATCAAGTCCTTGTGTTTTATTTGAGTTTGATAAGCATCTGGACCCATTCCCGTACCCACTTGCTAAATCCAATCATGCCTTTGGTTGCACACATGTGGATATTTATATTCCATCCGCAAAGCAGTTAGGTGGGGTCTATGATAACTAATTCCCAATTGGTCCAGTATCTGCTGTCACCATGTAAATATAGAGATGTCATCCAACTGTCAATCCCAATGTTCTATCTCTCAGTATAACTGTCTCATAAGGTAACTCAAGTCATGCATTATTGATCAAGAAGTTAGTGTTTACTATTTATTGGTTGATGAGAGATTAATCAACTGATGTGTTAATATAAATATTTGACAGAATTCACATAAGTTCTTAGTTGACTGTAGGAATCCAGAGGTTGCATACAGTCAGTGGTGAAATTACCCCTTATCATGTATGTACAGGATCCCCTCATCCCCTCCACTCAATTTTGGTTAAGAGAATAAAAAATAATTTATCAAATGAATTAACAATTAAAAAATGAATTAAAAAAAAGAATTAAGACTATTTAATAACTTGGGGCTTCCATTGTGAAATATTAAATTAAAAAAATGTTTTAGGACATTTTCTGAGATGGGCATTATTTCAAGTCGCAATAAATGATATGTCAGTTTAAACTGATGTTTTGTTAGACCCACAAAACAGGAATTTTAGCAATGTTACAGGATTTGTTTTCTAAATTTAACATCTGGATTTATCCACTTTTTCGATACTAGGGCCATATGTTATGAGTTTCTGCTGAACATTCCCTGCTTTTTCTCGTAGCATTACATAACTTTCACTTCTTAAGAAGTTAAGCACGAGAAAGTTAAAAAAAAAAAAAAAAAAAGCAGTTTTTTAAAAATTTTGAAAATGTCCAGAGGATTCATGTAATGTACTCCCCTCCCCCAAATTAAAATATCGGTTTCAAAATCCAGGGTCTGCGACATCAGTCAAAACGATAGGGGAGTATCAATTATGAAGAGAATCGGTTGAACGGTTTGTGACCGAGCGTTGTGCACAGAGGGACACAAGACGTTTTGCCGTCAATCTATTTTTCGGTATGAGGGACGCACAAAACATGGGTTCTGGCTACATCACGTATTGGAGGATTTTGTTTTCCAAATTTAGCAACTGAATGTATCCACTTTTTCGTTACTAGGGCCAGGCAATAGATTTTGTGTCTAATTTTCGCCGCTTTCCGGCGCACGATTACAATACTTCCTCTTCTTACGTTAGTAAATGGGAGAAAGTAAACTTTTATTTATTACTTTTTGATAAACAAGTATGTTTGGTCGATGAATTGGTTCGCCGGTTTTTAAATCTTTCACCGCATTATATGAGATGAATTCAACTGCTTATTAATGATGCGGGCCCAGTTATTTTCTCGCCTTTAATACGTAAGAGGAGAAAGTATTGTAATCGTCCGCTTGAATACTGCGAATTTTTCCTACAAAAACGCATATCGCGGGGCCCTGTTTACGAAAATGTGGATAAATCTTGTTCATGTATGCAGTAAATTACTTTCTCAAAATGTATAGTGCACTGCAGTTTCATGTGAACAAGAGAGGCGTGTTCTTCGATGTAATAGTTTTGCTCTCTCGAGCAACAGAATCGTATGTGCAATACATATGATACTTCGAGGTGTGTCCTTTAAATTTATATTATTAAAACACATATTTGTTAAATAATAATTTGGCAATTTCATGTAGAAACTTCACGTGTCACAACGGAATGCAATTTTTAAATCAGGCTTTTCATATTGTATTTTAGGAACCTTCCGAGCATTTCTGGGTTGTGATATTAACTAATCTGATTTTCGAATTCATCTAGTTTTCAAAACATTAATCCCTTTTGGCCCCATTTTGCGTTAAGGCATTAAATTGTTTTATAATGATGCACACCTATTTTTGTTAGCCTTTCTACCTACAACACTTATAAAATTAGGATAACAGTTTTCTCGCGTTCTAATTTTTTTTTGCTATTTTTTCACACACACGCTCACATACACCACGCACACACAACCATACTCTCAATACACTTTGCGGCGATGGTGTAACGGTTAGCGTACCGGACTGTTACACCCAAGTACGCGGGTTCAAACCTCCGAGCCGTGGATTTTTAGGGCCATAGATTTACTGCATGTAAAATACCCTCGAGCCTGAATGAAGCGTCTTAGCTGAATTTAAAATCGTCTGTTTCACCCAAGAAATACTTCCTCGTCTATTTGGTGAAAGGAGGGTAGCGAAATTTGCGTGGTTAAATGTGGTCAAACCTCATGGCCGAGTCTCGCCATGTAGAATAAGGCAACAATTCAACTCAACTCAGCACACCACATACACACACCACCCTCACACATTGGCCTCTGTCAGCTCGGCGATGTAAACAAGAAGGCTACTAAAGGAAAGCGTTGGAGGACTACGTGGTACGAAGAAATACTCAAAGCGTCGGCGTAGAACTAATTTAATAAATGAAATATAAAGAAGGGGGAGATAGGACATCTTGGAATACTTGAAATTAATGAATAAAACTTATTATCTTAGTAAGAAAAAAGGAATAGACAATTATAAATTGTATTTTACTATTTACGAATTGAATGCCGGGCCAGAGCCATGTATTACTAATAAAAATTCTAACTCTCTAAAAATTAGTACAAAAGCATCAAACAAGGTTCATAAAATTAATTAGAAGAAGCTAAAGTGTGTAAAATTGTATACCGTATGAATGATACCATAATACGATATACCATATATACACCACCAACGGTATATAAATACCACATACCATAATGAATGAAAATAAAAGTTGAATGCAATAAATGAATGTACATTGGCTGTGATTGGTCTTGAATGGCTTTCGTGTCTCGGCACCTTCGGAGTGAGAAACAGGTGCCTTGTGTATGGAAGCAATGTACCCTTACCGATGCTGCCGGAGCTGGAGCCTTGCGGCAATGTGTATTTGATGAGACACTGCACTCAATGCACCACCAGCAGATTGAATGCCAGTGCCGTCTCCTGAAAGATCGGGTAGGGGATGCGATAAAAAGTAGCAAATAGTTTGTCAATAAAACACGGGTTGCCTTCACTACTTACTGAGACCTAGTTCTCAGACGTTAACGAAAAATTTCAAATATTAGGAAATATATTGGATTATTATTAATGGCTCTCTATCAGGAGCTCAAAATGTTACAGTATTTGGGCCCAGTAAGAGATTAAAAATGAAACAAATACTGTTGAGACACACGACCCCCTCAGTGTAGCCCGCTCATTGTTTCCCATTCAAAATACACAGAGACATTAAGCCGAATCGCTTTAGCCCCATCAGGTGGGGCTAATTTGATAAACAATTTTGAATTTTTAAGTTATTTATTTTACTTCGTACACAGTCTTTAGAATCAAAAGGCACATACTCAGTTTTTTCATGTGTTTGCTGCAAACTATATAGAGAATAAGGCGAAAAGGTTGCTTTTCTGTTTCATAGAAGACTCGACTGACACTAATTATCGAAAATTCGAACTTGTCAACATTGTCTAGAAGCTTGAAGAAAAAGTTATACTAATGAGATGTTTAACTGCTATATAAGCAACCCCCTGGTGAAGAAAATTTGAACTGCGTCCGCTAAATCCATATTCTACCGCCCTTGGAGGCCCATTAATGAAATTATTGAAGACAAAGTTTGTCTACCGGGTGGATTTGCGAAATCGCATCAGACACGTGATTTGTGCCATATCCCCAGTAGGCAACCTTCTCGATAATCATTGGCCTTGCAGCAAAGGGAACTGTCGTGAGTCACGCGAAACCACAGTATTACAAAACCAGGTTCTGTAACCGATACACTGGTCTGAAGCGCCCAAAGAAAGGACAATATATTTTTGAGTAGAGAAAGTGAGAAACGTATACCATAAAGATTAGATATCATTAAACCAATCAAATAACGAATGTATGTGACGCATCACTCGCAACCAGAGACCCCGGACACGATGACCAGGCACGTGTGTCCATTTATTTTAAGTTTCATTACTCGCTGCAAATGTGCGAGTGAAGTCGGTAAAACATGCCAGACGTTAAAACGTGGCGTGCGCTGAGGGGCAGCCTTTAGCCATAATTAAAGGCCCATACACAACGCAAACATAAACATAAGCATGGCGTTAAATAAACGTTAGAACTACGTCCATAAGCGGACTCATTCACAATGCGTTCGCATAAGCATAAAACGTAAGATGTTAACTAAAAAGCTTGCAAGCTTCTGTGCGTGTGCTTAAGTACCACATAAGAAATGAACCAATCACAGAACGGTAACTGAAAATCGAGAATTGAAATTGGAGTGAAGTCGATAGAAGAACTAACGCCATATGGGACATAGACAGAGTCGATATCTTGAAATCGATTCTCACATCCAACCAGAAAGTCTCACAGCCAATAGAAACTTATTTTGCTTACGTTTATGTTAGTCATTGTGAATACTTCAGTCTATAACTTATGTTAATGTTTATGTCTATGCGCTGTGCTTATGTTTGCGTTTGTATTGTGAATGTCGAATGAATTGAATCTTAATGCCGGTGCGGCGTGAATATAACTTCCATGAAGCATGGCAAGCCGCAACCGCCGACTGCCAGCGTAGAGCACTTAGAGTTCACTGTGTGTGCAAAAATTCACATGGCACAAAAGTCTGCCCGAATCTATCGCGAATAACCCTGCGAAGAACTATTACCGAATCTATTTTATCCAAAAGGAAGCTACAACTTCACTAAAGTTCCTTTGAGACATATGGAAGGCAGCATTTAAAATTCACGATGTTTGCGCGGGCATTTTTACAAAATTGGGTTTGAAATGGTCCATTTTGTGTCTCCAGAATAACTTTTGACTTCACATGGCCAGTGTCAAATTAAATTTTGTTGCGCACGAATTTAATGTTAAGGGATACAAAATCGGATTGAAACAACGATGGCTTTTGGTCGATGTATCATTAATATTGAAGTTTTAATTATGAATATTTGGAAACGTTGATGTTTTGTTATCGAAGTCACATTATTACTGCTCGGATTGTACGTGGTTGTTCTGAGGAGCCGTCCTACTTGCAGAGAGACGAATTTGATTTTGGGGGATACTAAATCAGCTTCAAAACATGGATGGTGTTTAGTCGATGTATAATTAACATCGAGGTTTTAATTTTGAACATCAATTTTTGGAAACATCGATGTTTTGTTATTGATGTCGCATCCCCGCAGTTAATGCCGATGGGCTGCTACGCGTTTCTGAGGAGTCGTTGTATTTGCGGCGTCGAGGCCACGTCGAGGGCCGTGGTCCCCTTGACGTTCTTGATGGAGGTGTCCGCGCCGTATTCCAGCAGCAGCTCCACAGCTCTGACGTTGCCCTTGATTGCAGCGTAGTGCAGCGCGGTGCGTTGCGTATTGTCCTGAATGTTCACCTGTCATCACACAAAGAGCAGTTGATTAGATTCGACCAGCAGCGGCGCTACCTGAAAGATCGGGAAGAATAACGATAGAAAGGAGCAAATTGTTTGTTGATAAAACACTGGCTGACTATTTTCTAGGCTGTCCGGTTGACACCGCGTCAATGGCGAAGGTGCCGACGTTTCGGTCGCCATTTTGCGACCTTTCGCATTACGCCCTGAGGAAGGTCGCAAAATGGGGGCCGAAACGTCGGCACCTTCGCCGTGGACGCGACGTCACCCGGACAGCCTAGTAAATACTGACTCCGGCCGCGGAAGCCTACTCTCTCACTGGCTGACTTCACTGCTTACTCAAACCTTGTGCTCAGACGCCATTGTAAAGATATGTATATCACAAATTTACAAAAACGATCAAATAATAGGAAATATGTTTTATTATTAATGACCATACAGCAGGAATTCAAAATGTTATAGTATTTGAGCACAGCAAAATATTAAAAAATGAAAAAGAAACGACTTTTGAAACACTAGACCCTAAGGTGTCTCACTGTAGCCCGCTCGTTGTTTCCCAATCAAAATTCATAGAGATTAAGCTGTACAACTTCAGTCCATCAATGTATCAATTATCGATACAAAGTGTCAATCAAATTACCCAGTCAAATAAAATAACAAATCAGGTGCAACACATTTGACACACTCTTTTGATTTTTTAAAGAGTTGTGTTAGGTCTTAAGTTACGTTTATATCATGTTATTCAATGCATTTATCACTATTCGTAAACAAAACTTAAAAATGTTCGTACTTTTTTGAGAAAATTTTGTTTCAAATATTGTTAAAATTTTGAAGTTTTGTTCGAAAACTGCTAATGTTTTAAAAAAAGGCCATGTCATTAATTAAAGAACTAATTACGAGAACAAATTTAATTTGAGGGGAAATCTCTGTTTAATGCAGTTGCATGAGGGATACCCAAAAATTTCAAATTTTTATAATTATCAAATATTGGACGTAAATAGTGAAAATCACACGTGTGACACCTTAACATGAGTAATACTATCTATTCTTACAATGAATTTGTATAAAAACGTTTAAGCCATTTTTGAGAAAATTTTGGAAATGTCCAAAGGGATTCATGTAAAATACCTCCAGAATTTAAAGAAATCTTTACAAAATCGCTGGGCTTGGAGACTGGCCAGCTCGATCGGTGGATATTCTTTTCTAAAAAAATGCTATAAAGAAACTTAGACGTTAGTGTTGTTCAGTCATGTTACAGAATAACAAACATTTTTACTTTTACCGCGGCAGCGAGAGAGTTATGTAATGCTGCGCGAAAAAATCCTCTAACACGTGTTGTAGCCAGAATCCATGTTTTGTGGGTCTTTGATACTGAAAAATCGATTGATGGCAAATGTCTGACCGTCCGCCTGTCGGTCTGTCTGTATGTGAACAACGCTAGTGGCTAAACTTTTCAGCCGATTTCCTCTAAAATTGTTATTTCCCGATTGACCTGGCTGATCTCGTGACCCCTTGAATTTGAAAGCGATATTTTAATTCTAGGGGCTATTTTACACGAAATCTCTGGGACATTTTCCAAATTTTCAAAAAAATAGCTTCGTTGTTTTTGATTAAATATTGTTGTTGAATAGGGTAAAGGACGTTTAAGAAAATGGTGCAGGTCGCATTTCCGCTAAAAACTCTGATTTTTCGAAAATTGAAAAAAATCAAACTTTGTTCGGCTTCTTCCTACAAGTAAAATTAACAAAATACATTTTTCTTAATAAAATGTGTTTGTTAAAAAATCTTCAAATAAGCTCATGTTGAATTTCTTGAAAATATGAGTATTTTTTGAGTAATTTGGCGTCAAAGTTAGTCGCCCACTCCTAGAATACAATCCTGCGCTTCGTGAACGTAAGTTCACGTTGAGCGTTCAAGTGAGGTAGTTGGATGCTGTGTAAGTTTTAAAGTTGTATATTATTTTATATTAATTTTTTCGTTTCTTACATTCGAGCTTTTGTTATACGGTTAAAACTAATATTTTAGAAATTATTCAAAACTTACTTTAAATTGCGTCATCTAATTGAGTTACATGTGGAAACGAATAGATTATTTCACTTTGCCTCATAAGATGTGGGAATGAAGAGTAATGCATGTTAACACTGATAAAAAATGTATATTGAATTATTATACTTTTCCAACCATTTTCATTTTCTTGCTAGATGTATCAACAATGCTAATTAGCTAAATATATATCCCATTCGAATTAGCGCTCATTGTTGCTTGTTGTAACCCATTATTATAACGCTGGACTGATAACAATAAACGATAATGACGGTGGCCTTTCGTTCGCGTAAATATAAACAAATAATTTTATTTACGGCTAAAATACGCGTCGTGCATCGTTGATACAATCAGAGTAAACAAAAATAATCGGTGTCCAGGAGTTTCCAATTTTGAAGTGCAAGCAAAAAGGTTCTAAGTTCCGCACATGGAACATTTTTTCATAACATTAACAGTTGATGGATACTCTACAGATGTCACAGAGGTCACTGACAACGATCCTTTATGGTTGGAAAGTTGAATTTATATTTTACGAACAATTTTCCATCGTTAACTCAAAACTGGCAAAAATGTGACTTTTTGAAAAAATCGAACCTTTTTGTTTCCTCCGATTCATTTATGTAGAACGTGAATACACTGAAATCATTGGCAGAGAACTGTTTTTATTTAAGCATTGAATTCAAAATAATTTATGTATTTTTCAAGATTCGTTTGCTAAAAAAATTAATATGGCATTCAATGTGTGAGACAGAAATTGTCATATTAGAATATTACATTGCCATTAACAATATCGCGAGAAAGTTCACGCTGTTGTAGCCCCACTAGTTTGGTATTAGAGAACCCCAAAATGGATATATCCATTACAATCTCTAAATCGATTTTTCGCAGCATTGCATAACTTTCCGTCTACACACACGTACACGAAAAGTAAAATAATGTTATAGTTTGTCACTTTCACCAAAATCTCACTGCAAGTAGAAGCATTACTTGTAAGAGACGGAAGTCAAATTAATTTATTGTGAATAATTAGTGATGCTTCATCATATACATCCTATTGTTTGTACCGGAAGCGAAATATACTACTCTATATTATACTCTGCAAATTGCATCATTGTATTATTTTTTTCTGACGTGTCTTGACAAAACCGTGGAAAAGAAGCACGGGAGATTATCCAATTATGAGATTTCTCACCTCATGATTATTGGTAAAAGTCATCGCTTTCTAATTGTCCTAGAAGTTTGTCACATTTATGAATATTGCTCTCTGGATGCAATGCACCTCTCTGAATATTGCTGATTTCGTATTTTCTTTGTTGCTGAAGTGCTCCTAGGTGGGTGTGGGGTTAGCTTACTGGCCGCTGAAGCCTCAATTCGCGGGGAGGGGGGAAAGTTTCGAAGGGCGGAAAATCCACTAGTCATGTCACTCTTATGGCATGAAGAAATTTGGCGGATACCAGGAAAAATTAAACCCGACAATATTCCGCCCTAACTAGATCTCACTTCTCACAAACGGAGAGTTTGGATATGGTTAACAGAGACAGACATTTGGCGGAAAATGTGCGAGTCACACCCCAGACGTATCAGGGGACCACACGCGCCTGCTCGAAAGGTCGGAAAACCCGCGACGGAGGTGGGGTTCCAAGGAAGCCTGTGTCGAAAAAGAGGCTAGTGTCCAACTACTTTGAATATCCTCTTATGGGGAACGAGGATCGCACGCGATCGAAGTTTTACTACGTGTTGTTGAAACCACGTGTACCTGACGAGTTCAATAGAGAGCGGTTTGCAGAAAGAAGTCGAATTGGTTCTCAGGAAGTAAGAAGGTTGCCTTTTATGTTTTGGGATTTGGCAACCCTGGTGTTGCAATCTGGCAACTGACAGCTCTAACGTAAAGTTGGATGTTTTGAGGTTATACATACTCAGAACATTTTGACATACGAGCGCTATTTGTGTTTACAGTAACTTAAAAGATTCATCTTGGCCCCAAATTGGCATTAATTCGTGAACATTGTGCGATTATTTTTTACAACTTTCGACGTGGATTAACTCAGTAACAGTGAATGGATGAACTTAATTCAAGTTTTGGCGATG